GCAGTGGCACTGCCAGACCGTGGTGTACTGGTGGGTGTTGTAGCCGCGGCCGCAGCACATGGTGTCGCAGCCGTCGGCGCCGGGCGAGGTGCGGTTGCACAGGCGGCCCTGCGTGCCCACGCTGCCCGTGGCCGCGTCCTCCTCGCAGTAGTTGGGCGACTTCTCGATGTACACCAGGTCCGTCTCCATGGGCTTCTGGTAGCTGCGCAGCTGCTTGATGCGCAGGAAGGTGGGCTGGCGCAGGCGGCTGGCGCGCACCACCTCCACCTGCACCGCGGCGTTGTACTTCTCCTTGAGCAGGTGGCCCACCTCGCGGAACTTAGGCAGCGTGGTCCAGCAGGTCTTGGTGGTGCAGGAGCCTGACACACCGTGGCACTTGCACTCCAGCTTCATGCGGTCCTCCAGCACCTGCGGGCGGCAGGCAGCGGCTCGGCAAGGCCCGGGACGGGCACCACCGAGCCCCCCTCTAGCCCAATCCCCAGCCGGCTCTGCAGAAACTGCGTGACCACAGGCGAGGTCTCCCGCTCACTAGCCTCGGGCTCCTCATGCATCATGCAGGGCTGCCAGCAGCAGGCTGCTGCCGCGGAGCTCAGCACACCTCAACAACCGTGGTTTCCAGGTCCTGCAGCGGCCCTTCCGAGGGCCACGACACCCTCACCAGGGCGCTGGCAGGGAAACCCAGGCCGGGGCCTACAGCCCACTGCATGTGGGGACGTGCACTAGGGAGGCCCTGCCCCGGCAGGTGCTGAGGTGGGGGCGCGCTCTCCACACCCACCGCATGCCTGGTGGAGGGCCTGGCCGCTATCCAGACCCAGCCTGCCCAGGGCCTCGGCATGGCAGCCAAAGGACAGTGGCTGGCAGGGGATGGAGCACGGCTGGCGCGGCAACGTCCTCTGCTGGGAGGCCCGGCCCTGACGTGTCCTCCCCAACCCCATGAGGGCCTCGGAGGGTGCAGCCGTGTGTTTTCCTTGGGCCTCCTCGGTGACTCCGGAAGGCCGATTCCCAGAGACAGCCCTGACCCCAGGTACTCATTTACCCGGATCGAAAGGGCCCTGCCAGCCAGGCCTGATTAAAGAGGGGGAATCGTTAGCTGCCACCCCACAGCTGCAGAGCAGCCATTTGTCAGCTGTGAGGGCCCCGCGGGCCTCACCTTGGTGGTCGGCCCTGCACAGGCATGGCCACCCTCAGCTCCAGCTCTGGCCCAGACAAGCTCTCTAGCGAATGAGGGAAAGGCAGGCAGGGAGACGTGCTAGCACAGAGAGCGTGACTGCCCAAGCACCTGCTGACCTGCTGCATGGGCCTGGACCTCAGACAGACCAGGGCACGCTGTCCAGTGGGGAAAACAGAAACTGCAGAAGCCAACATGGGTGATGGTGCCTGGGTGGGGGCTTCTGGGAGGAGGCGGTACCTACGCAGGGTAGTGATGGACGCGCAGGCGCTCTCTAGAGGAGGGGCACGTCCCTGGGGGGCAAAGGTCTGCAGAGCTGTGGGCCTCAGCAGGCAGGGGTGGGCTGGGCGGGCCTGAGGCCAGCGCCTGGAGGTGAGCGGTGGGGTGGGGCATGGGCGATGTCCTGGGGCCAAGGCTGGACAGGCTGGGAGGTGAGAGGGTGGGAGGGGCCCAGGTGTCCCGAGGAGGGAGAAGGGACCAAGTGTGGGGGACATTCCGAACTGGGGTTACAGGGGTTGAGGATGGTCTGGGACGTCCGGTCAAGGGCATGGACCAGAGTCTTAGGGGTGTCTTGGTGTGCACAGGGTAGGCCCCTGGAGGGCCCCAGGAGGAAGCATACTTGAGACTCCTCCCTGCCCCCGCCGCTTTCTCTGCCTGTGTTCATCTGTCCTCCCTGTGGTCCGGCTGCCACTGCTTCAGTCTGCCCCTCCCTGCTGATCTGCTCTTCCTGTCCTGGCCACATTGCCCATCTCAGACACCCCCAGCCCAGGCATAGCCCCAGACTTCCCACTCCATCCCTGGCCGCTGGTCTCTGCAGGGGTGCCCCAGCGAGGGGAGTGCAGGCCAGGTTGTCCAGGCTCCATGTGCCATCCCATCTCCCCACTGAGGCCTGCTGGGCAGCTGAGGCCTGCTGGGCTGCAGCCTCTCCACGCACTCCACCAACCACTACCCCACCCGGCCCCGTCTTCCAGTCCATATCAGGGCCAGGTGGCCCACTGCACCCTCCAACCCGCCGGGCCCGGTCGGGCCCTGGGCGCCAGGCTGCGGACAGTGGCACACGGAGCCAACTGGGCAGGGCCAGGGGCTGCGTCCTTGCTTGGCTGGGTCCTGGGCCAGCCTCTCCCGGCAGTGATCACAGGGTTCCAGAACGTGCCGTTTCCTTCCAGCACCCTTGCAACCCGGGCACCAGAGGCAATGGCGCTGGTGGCAGCCACCACCGCAGGGTGCAGGAAGCAACCCTGCTGTCCCAGGAGCCACTGGGAGGGGCAGAGCGTGCAGGCCCCCTGAGGGACCGGGGGTGGGCAGGGCCCTCCTCCAAGCCTGGCTCCCCCACCCCGGGTACAGGAAGGCAGGACTCCTGAATAAGCATGTGGCTCAGGTTCTAGAGAAGTGTCAGGCACAGCCAGGCTGGGGTGTGGGTGGACTGAAGCCCACCAGGAGCAGGCTGGTCGGCTCGGGAACCCTGGCGTCCAGGCGCTGCAGCCAGGCAGGCCCGGCTGGTGGGGGGCTCCCCAGGGACAGGACTGCTCACTCTCTCTGTGCCTCAGGGCCATTTGCCTCCTGGCCTGAAGTGGTATCCTGACCTTTTCACAGATATAGGGCCCCCTGGTGACACAGCCAATGGGCCCCAGCTCTGTCTGGAGCCCACAGAATGGACAGAGGTGGTCACTGGGCTGAGCTATTCCACCAGCCCCAGGCCGCGAAGGAGGGGGTGACTGTGCGGTCCCACCTGGCTCGGGCAGCTCTCAGCTCTGGGCTCTGCAGGGTCACCTCTCCTGGGGTAGCTTGCAGTGGGGACAACGTGGCTCCAGCAGGTGGGTGAAGGCCATGACATACCATGCCCAGCTCTGTGGCTGGCCATTCTGGTTGGCATCATGGCACCCTGAGCCATCCAACCACCATCCCTGGGCCTTCCCAGATGGACCAATTCCTGCCTTCCCTGGACTGGTACGGAGGGAAGACATAGTGGCTCCTGCACCAGGCCTCACTTCTGTCTGACCCACCACCTCTCCCAGGCTGGTGGAAGCAGGTGGTTTGTAGGCCTCCAAGCTTAACCCACCCAACCCCAGCCCACTGGTTTGCCAGCCTGGGGTGCACAGGCAGTGAGGGGAGCTGAAGGGTGCCCCCCAGTTCACATCCACCTGAACCTCAGGAAGTGGCCACTGCAGATGGAGTCAAGGTGCAGACGGGATGAGTAGGTACTGGCAGGGCGGGCTACACTCAGTGTGTGCCCCTGGAGAGAGGCCAACTACGGGAGGCAGGGACCAGAGGATGCGGAGGCCGAGGACCGCATAGCAGCCCAATGCTGGAAGCAGCAGGGAGCCTTGGGGCAGCACACCCCGGCTCCCATCTGGGGAACGGCTTTCTGCGGCTTTCGGCTCTCAGTCTGAGGACTGCTACTGTCGGCCTGATCCCTCCTGCCTTGCCAAACGTGGTCCCCAGGGGGCCGGGGTGGAGCAGGCACAGCAGTGGGGGCCAGGGTACCTGCACTGGGTGCTGATGGAAACCCCGGCTCACCAGCCCCATGAGCAGCCACCCTCGCCTTTCCCAGGGCTCAGCAGTGAGCGCTGCATGGCAGGGGCAGGGGCAGGGGCACCCCCACTGCACAGACAAGGAAACCGAGGAGATGGGGTAGCCAGGACTTGGACAGCTGGGGACTGTGTGGGCCGAGAGTCCCGGCTGCTGGCCACTTTGGGGCCTTTCCTGCGACACCCATCGATCTCTGCCCTAGCCCTGCCGACTGTCCCCACCCCCAGTCTGATCCCACCTCTGCTCAAGGCTTCCCCCAGCTCACCCTGGGCACTGGGCCCCTCTGCCCTGGCACGTGGCCAGGCATCTCTGCCGCCTCATGCTCTGCCATCCAACCGACCGTGGCCAGCCTCCCACTCTCCCGCCTCTCCCGGGCTGTCCAGCCCACCTCTATCTCCCCGCACCTCTTTATCACCCGCAAGCCACCCAACCCTGCTGAATCTCACACCAGGTCAGTTCAGGGTCATGGGACCCCTGAGCTCAATGAGACATGACCTTGGACTTCAAGTGGGTCAGTGTCGCTCAGCCTCAGGCACCTGCACATCCACCCCTTGCACTAAGGCCATCCAACCTGCCCGGTCTCCCGGCCCAGCCCTCGGCTGCACTCCCGCCACAGCAGTCCAGCACCTGCATCTGTGTGGTCCCTCTGCCGAGGCGCCCTTCCCCCTGTGACTCACACCTCCCCTGGAGCAGTGGCCAGAGCTCAGGTCCAGGCCCCTCGGCCAGGTCTGCGGCTGCTCTGGGCTTCACCACCCTGAGCTACGCGGTGGGGACAGTGAGGTCTTCTCCCCGGGTGGGGAAGCCCCTGCTTAGAACCAAAGCTGTGACAGAGGCTCAGGGGCCGTCCTTGGTCTCAGATTGGCCTCTTCTTCATGGGAGTCCTCCTTGGCCCTCCCAGGGCACACGGGCTCTGCCACAGCCCAACTGCCACCTGCCCGTGCCTATTGTCCACGAGTTCCCCCAGGGAGACTGCCACTCGCTCCTTCCTGTGACAAGCACTTCACAAACACCTGCAATGTGAGAGCCTCCGTGTGCACAGGGTAAGTCGAACCCCGGGCCTGGGTCCAGGCTTCCTGAGCCAGGCCTGCTTGCTTCTCGGGCCCACGAGCTACTCCGTGCTCCTGCCAGCTGGAACCATCACAGACGTACCCCGATCGCCAGCTCCCTCCTACTTCTCATCTCAGCCCTAGCAGGTCCGTCAAGGTCCACTCCAAAGTCACCTCTTCTGAGAAGTGCTCCCTCCCTCTCCCTGACTCTCAGCCCTCCTGACCCTGGGTGTGACCCCTGCACCCCCACGTGGACGCAGCTCCCACTACCAGGCCACACGTGCTCCTCTGCCGGTGCCCAGCCTAACACCTGGCAAAAAGGGGCAGGAGATGTTTGTTGAGTGAATGAGCGAGCGCAGATGGCTTCAGCTGGGAGCCCTGGAGCAGAGGGATTCTTCAGCTCCTCTGTGCTAGAAAGGTGGGTCGGGCGTTCCCTCTCATATTGAGCCCCAGGCCCTGCGGCCCTGTGTGCAGCCCCAGGGACCAACGGGCGTTCCGCCCGGCTGGCCTCCCTATCTCGGGCCATCTTGCCGCCTGCTGGCTGCTCCGCCCGGGGTATCTGGGCCTCATCTTCCCATAGGCGGGGCTGGGCTTGCCCTGACCTCTCCCGTGTCCCTGCCTGCATGTCCTCCACTGTCACCGCCCACCCCACCCCATGTATGGA